GTAAATTCATAACCACGATCAACACGTTGTTTTTCACCTGCTAATATGCCAGGTGTATCGATAAATGTAACAGTTTCTAAAATTTCATTATGTAATTGTGAACAAACGAAACGATTTAAAAAAGCATTGCCAAATTTTGATAATGGTCGAAACGGTTTTGATGGATCAACAACTAAGGCATTACCGGGAATCGTACCGGAACGATCAGCATTCATAATTGCAATAAATGAATCAGTTGTTGGTTCTATAAAATAATTGATTAGATAAGAAAATAAAATAATATGTCATTACCTGGTCCAATACGAATACCTGGAAAATCTTCCTAAAAAATAAAAAAAAAATAATTAATAAAATCGAACACAAAAAAAAACGAAACTTACATTTAATAAATAACGGATAAAAGTTGTTTTACCAACGGAATACTGTCCGACAAGAAGTACCATTGGTTTAGCTGAAAAATCACTATCATCAAGTTGTGGTGAATGAAATTCATGAAATCTATATGCTTCTTCTAATGGTAATAATTTTGCTTTATATACCTGTCGTAAACCTTCCGCGACATTGGTATAAATTTCTTTTTTAACAGGATCTTTCTTCCAGAACGGCATCTATAATAGATAGAAAAGAAAAGTTAGATTGATGATATGCTTTTGTTTTGATTAAAAAGGATTCAGTATAAATGTCGATACAAGATTTATTCGGATAAAATAATCTTTCATCCTTATTGTCAGTCGATCAAGTGAGTGGTAAAGTCGACGATCGACGAGAACGAGAAAGAATGTATATAAATGTATATATATTTATATATGTTCTTTTTCGGGCATTCTCTCTTATTGATGAGTCATGAGGAGCAAATAAAAAAAATGAGTGAGAAAAGTAAAGGAAGCAATAAAATCATAATATCGATCCGATTACTAACTTCATATATTTATCAATGGTTCGATAACCAACAAATTATTAAATAATAAATATATTCATAGAATGAATCAACGAAATAATAATCTCTAATTCAATAAAAGATTCTTTAGCTAATCATGAAAAACTTTGATATACTAAAGATGTCACTATCATACATAAACAACGATGATTTTCTTTTTGGTGTTTAATCGTATGAAAACCTGAGGGTGTGGTGGGTGTGGGTGAGGGTCTAGGTCTGGGCGAGTGTTTATCTCTCTTGACGTTGTCGCTTTTATATACATTGTAATACAGTTCTTCCTATTTACGATATTATTAGATAATTAGAATATATTTTATTATATCTGAGAGGCAAGTTCATCATATTTGTTTTTAAATCAAATGATGAGTTATCAACATAATATTTTAGTATTAGTATAAAAGTTAAATAAATGGATTATTTTCTGAAAATATAAACAATGATTTGCAATGCAAAAGTAAACTAATAACAACCAAGATTACGTTTAAATCAGAGTGGATACTATATCTTTCAAGGGAGTAAGAGCTAGCACCCAGCACCGAAAAACGCCGAACAGGTGCTTGGTGTCAGTCCTTACCCCCTTAGTTTCTCTACAAAAATGTGTTGGTTATGAATTAATTTTATTCAAGTAAACTTGAAATAATTACATAAAAAGTATTTGAAAATGAAATATTTTTTGTTTTTTTCTTAAATAAGCTAATCTTTTCTCTTTGCTCCATCTTTGACTTGAGTATTATCATCTACTTAGAAAGAAACAATGAGATAATCGTTAAATTAACCTACATTAAGTAAGTCAGTCTGTCAACTAAATAAAACAGACTAATGTATTTGACACAAGTGTATTTATACAATTGAGCTAAAAAAACAAGATTATTAATGAAACAACAAACCAATACAATAAACACAATAGAATATAAATGCAATGACTTAGAGAAAAGCAAGACTATAATGAAACAAATCAACATTGATATATAACAGGAAAATACATTATTATACACAGCTAGGATTTAATGATGGATTAAACATTGATCTGATGATGATCTTGAATTAAAACTCCACTCATTACCATCTTTAATTTCTGACGATATTGCTTTGACAACCATTCGATCTTCTCATAACGAGATACTTCATTACACTTAGTAGATTCTCGAATACAACGTTGTTGGCGTCGATGATGATGACGATACTTCCGAACAAGGATAGAGATATGAAAAATAATTTTGTCGAGAACAACTACAACGAAAAGCAGATTCATAACACAGAGGATAATTGGAAGAGCAATCGACCGATGGATTTTCTAAAGAACATGAAAAATTATCGTTAAAATGAGAGAAACAATAAAATAGTTATTACAGCTTACCCATGCATAATATGCTCCGTCAAAGAGACATATGATCGCACAGAGCGCGCTTATATATGCTAACGCCCAGACAATCACATATTCAAATTTTTGCCATTTTGTCGAATTTTTCTAGATAGCCAAAAAGAAAACATTATAAGTTTTGCAAAAGTAAAGAATACTAAAAGAGATAGTTTACTATTTATGAGAAATTCTGATCAACTAATGCGTTCCCTTTGAGCACATATTTTTCTCATTGACAGAGCTTATAGTGCAGATAGAAACCCTAAAATGGTTCGTGTCATCAGGCCTTTTTTTTTTTCTTCTCAAATTATAGTCATTTTAGTGAATTTTCAGTCTAAACTAGAATTTTATGAAGAAAAACATTGCAATGAAGAATATTCACTTGAAAATTTTTCCAACAACAAAACTCACAGCCTTTATTAAACTCTGAAAGTTTCAGCGCAGACGAATGTTTTTATTTCAAGATAATACGTGTACAAAAATCACTGGTTTCTCACGGAAGCTTCTTGAAATAGTTCATCTATCAAGTATCCCGTATCTTAAGAAAACCTCATTCGTGTTAGCTGAAACTCTCAGAATATAATAATGATCACGAGATTTATTATTTAGAAAATTTTCAAGTGGAAATTCATTATTATGATCTTTTTCATAGTAACCTATGATAGGCTAAAAATTCAGTAAAGTGATCATAACTCAAGAAGTAACATATGAATTTAAACAGAGAGCATTAGTTAGTGAGGTTCTCTCGTTAGATAAATACAAAAGAAGATTCATACAAGTATACGTACTTTTTTTTCCAAAACATATTCCGAATTAGTTCTTGTTAAAGTAGAAGGTGTACTAGTTGATGTTATAACAACAGACATGATGAAAACTATATCTATAATTCTTTTCAATTTAAAATAATATATTAAAAATTATAAAGTGAAAGATGGTTCAAATCAAATCAGAATGACTACACGTTCGTCAGAACATGAGTCGTAATTTTGATATTGAAGAACGTGTTTATTATTTTGCTAAGTTCATCTTCTCGAAATAATAATATATTCAGTCATTATCGAAACATCATCTCACTACAATATTAAAAAAAGTATGTAAAGATAGTTTTTCAGTGTTCATTCTAATATTCGT